TTCTATGACCATTTCTGAGGCTTGAAAGGCTCAGAAAAGGTCCTAGAAGCTGGCGATTTCACGCCCGCTGCCCCCTGGGGGGTGGGGGGAGTGGCGCAAGGGTCTGAGTGAGCCTTCCCGGACCCTTGTGACGCTCCCCCACCTGGACGCTGGCGATTTCGCCCGTGCTGGCCCCGTGGGGGGGGGGGGGGGTGGGGCAAGGGGCCAGAACTCTCACTCAGACCCTTGGGAGGCTCCCCCCATGGGGTCAGCGGGGGTGAAATCGCCGCCTTCGCTCCATAAGATGCCCAGACCCATGGGGCCAGCGGGGGTGAAATTGCCGCCTTCGCTCCATAAGACGCCCAACTTCCCCCCCTCATTTTTTGGGGGGGGGAGTGCGTCTTATGGAGCAAAAAATACGGTAGCTGGAGTTAATGAGGGTCCAGCCCCTGGGGCTGGACCATCCACTCACTTGTCCAGCAGTGGCCCCTTTCTTCCTTCCAATTGCTCCGAAGCGCTGCTCAGCTAGCCACTCGGCAGCCTTGCAGGGAAACCTGTCCTCCCTCCCTCTACCACAAGTGGCTAGCCGATGGAAGAGAACGGCACTCAGGAGCGATTGGAAGGATGACTAGGGCTGGCGGTGGCAGCGGACATGTGAGTGGACGGTCTGGACCCTTGTTAACTCCAGCTGTGTGGGGATATTTGTATTTGTATACAAATATGAATACCCCATCTCTAGTAATGACTTTTCACCAAGTCACCTTGCTAGATGGGAGAATACAGTTCTGTCCCTGTGGTCTTGTCTCGCCAGACTCTTTGTTCTGTCTGATCCTCCAGCTACCTATTAAAAATTTAGCTTGTGGAGTGTGTTCTTCTATAGCAGGGGTCTCCGAACTTTTCTCATAGAGGTCCACATAATATATTTTTGAGGGTTGAAGGAATCCGTGCATATGCACTCACGCCTGCAGGAATGCACGCCCGTGCACACACACAAATGGGATGGATAAAAAGGCCAGGTGGGCTGTACTTTGGAGACTCCTGTTCTATATGAAACAAATAATTGTTTGCTTAGATCCAGACATTTCTTACATGTTTAGAATGCATTAACGTATCTGGAAGGCAGATTCTTCCAGTTTACTCTCTCTGTTGTGTTGCACCTCCTTGTGTCTATTTCCAAGCTATCTGAGTGGGTCTGTAAATCCTTAGGGACAGAAGACTATATTGTGGGGTGCAGGGAATTATAAAGAGGACAGGAAAGCTCCGTTGCACAAGCACATTGCCACTCTGTCTTCCCTGTATAAATAGTCAGCAGTACATACTATTCTCTGAACATGTCTCCTTAGATACATTTGTTAGTGATGTCTCTTACTGTGAGAAAGATAAGGACTTCTTATGCTACAAGATAGGGCAAAGAAAAGAAAACAGAAAACACCAGCATGATTATTAATGAAACAAGGTGGTTGTAAATCTCTGTGATTCCTATAATAAAGAGGGAATAGCATCACCCTGTTGAAGTGTGAACAGAGTCTTGCCACATCTTAAAAGCATAACAAAATGCCATTGTTTTAATAATCTAAAGAACAAAATATTCTCACCATAGATTACGAAAACGGGAATTTTATTGCTGCGTTTGTTTAGAAGCATAGCTTGTGTCTAAACCATTCTGATGTGTCATTCTGGAAAATCGGTAAACCTGTGGATGGTGATGTCTTCCCCTGTCATTTGCCACAACTCTCCTATCCATCCAGATTATTAAATTCCTGGCATAGCATCTATTTCTTCTAATTTTACACCTGACAGAGACAGGAAGGACTGGGCTTTAGAAATATAATAATGACAAAGGTATTTGTCAAGACAGATGATGACGGGTCTTGTGAGATGCTCCCATTAGATTTCCCTAAGGATGGACTTGGGCTACTTCCTCCTGCAAATCAAACCAGAGATAGTGAGATTGTCTCTTGCAGTTGCCTCTGTATGCCATCCATGTTTAGCCTTTGAAAGGTTTAAGAGGTGCAGAAACTGGCGATGGGATGTACTGGACTCAGTCTGAGGTTCCTAAGCAGTACTGAAGCCGGGGCTGTCTGATCGTGTAAGAAAACAAGCGTGCTTAATGATTCTGAAGGGCAAGGACTGATTATATCCTGGACTTGGACGCTGCGGTGCCTGAGAGAAAGCATTACATCTAGGCTTGCGATGGAAAAGATGAAGGAATGCTGAGGAAGCTTATGTGCAAAAGGATATGTATCTGTAAGGAAATTGTTCATGATTTTGCTTCTTTATTTGAATATACTGAATGGTGTGTGTGTGTGTTAGTTAAAAAGCACTTTATTCTTTCTTAACTGGCAGTGATGAGCAGACAAAGGCCACTTTAGATAAAGCACGTGCTTGCATATCGGTTAATCACCATAAATGAGCTCTGGGTCAGAGAACTGAAGCAGCAGCAATTGTGGATAATCTCTAAGCATAGGGAAATTTTGTTTCTATGCTCTGAAACCAGTGGAAGTAACACAGGTTTGGATTTAGCTTTATGAATGGCAACACTAATGTGCAGGGTCTAATCTCCCTGATTAACTCTGCCTTCATCAGTAATTTTACTGGGGTGAATATTAGCTTTATTTGACTTTTTGCCTTTCCTTTCCTTCCTGAAGACCTCTTTCAGATGTCTCCCTTTCTTTGTTTCTCTTGGCTCAGCACATTTGCCACTCAAAGAGCTGATGCCTTGAAGTGAATATGTAACCTTACTAAGAATGAAGGAGTAACATGGAAATATAAGTGACAGCTTACAATGACCCATTCTTTAGTATCAGTAATGAGTAAATGTCGTCTTGTATCTTTGCTGTAGAATGTGATCTTGTGTTTTAAAGGGAGAGCTATTGTATTGTAAGTTTGTCTTTCTAATGCAAAAATAAATGTGCTTTTCAGACTAAGAAGAAAGTTTTCTTTGTTTTGTTTAATGCTGTAGTATAAAAGAACCACACCCTTGGTGAGAGTATGTAAGAGGCAGAGAAAAAGCCCAGTTTCTGCTTTGCTTTGTTAATATTTGTATGTTCCTCTTTATATTAATAGAGAAGGATAGTTTCTGCAGTTATTCTGATGTATGCAACTAGGTCAGTTTTATAAGATATTGAAAGACAATGATAAGATAAAGTTATCAGTGTGGCATTTGTAGAAATAAGGGTTGCAAAAGCAGGGGGTCCTGCCTGTACAACTTTTGTGAGTTTGAGTCTGCAGACTGTTGTGAAAGCATGGTTTACTAGCTTCATTTTGAGCAGTGTGTATGGAACTGTGTGCAGAGTGGGACACGCTATTAACAAAAGGCAGAAAAATCCTGAAGGAGTGAATTTGTTTCATAGGCCACCCTCACATGTTTACCTTTAAGTCTGCTCTAATTCAGAAAAGGCAGGGGCATGCTTCATTGTACAGTATTAGTATTGTATTAGGAAGGAGCTTAAGCAGTTGTATTTAGGATTCCTTTGTGAGAAAGCAATCTCATAATACATGTCGGAAGGCTTTCTTGGGCTCATTGAAACAGTTTCAGTGGTGCCTCGCATAATGAGCACACCGTTTAACGATGAATCCGCATAGCGATGCGGATTTTGCGATCGCTAATGCAATTGCATACCGATGTTTTATCACATTGAGATGGGGAAACAGCTGTTCGGCAGTTCCAAAATGGCCGCCAGAACACCCAAAGGGGCGCCGGAACACCCAAAATGGCCACCGAAACATGGGGAAACATCGCAGAACGGTGAGTTTTGGGCCCATTTGGAACGCATTAAACAAAGTTAAATGCATTCCAGTGGGCTTTTCCGTTCCGTTTAGTGATGTTTCCCCATAGCGAAGGTTAATCCAGAATGGATTAACCTCGCTATGCGGGGCACCACTGTATATGTAAGTTTATTTTTGATGGATATACTCCAAAGAAAAGTAAAATAAGATCTGTAAACTCTAGAGATCTGTAGCTTTGTTTTCCTCTTTGATCTTGTTATTATGGGATCTTGTAAGAAGACACTGTGATATATTGTGGGAGTGAGATGCCCACATAGAAAGTAAAAGTATTCCCTTGGGCTATTATAAGCCATTTACATGAGCCTACACAACTTTTGAGTCTCAGCCACAGTTAGAAACTTCTGTTCAACCAAGCAGTACCCACTGCATTTTGGCAAAAAATAGTATTATTTTCCTAAAATCCATTTAAGGGCCTGTTTAGGGACATTTCACAATTGTGCTGCCACAGCCGAGTGTTTTGCTGTGAGCTGTTACAAAATAAACTTTTATGAAGTATCAGGAAGATCCCTGAAGAGGTTAACTGTTATTGAAGCTGGAAAAAGAAACTGGTAATTTTTAGTTCTCCTGAAAAACTTGCATGAATCTTGCCTTTGAATGTAACTGATAGCATGAATACTGGGAAACGATGGGAAGCATACATCCTATCAGCTTAACATGGCTGGCAAGGTTTTCCAGCCCATGGCATTCATCCAGGCTATGCCTCTTTTACCTTTTATTGGTGTAATCTTCACCTCCATTGTGGCATGGTGGATGGGGAATTTTAGACTGCCATGTTCAGTGCACTGTAACCGTCATGAAAATTCTTCTGTTTGGTGTGGATCAACTGAATATTATCTTGCGGGGACTAAATGAAGTGGCTCGTGTTTCCCTCTGTGTGTGTTTATTTGATTAGGGTCTGGTGAGGAACACTGTGCAGGATTAGTTGGCAGACTCATCACCTGACTGTCAAAGGAGTGTCAGTGAAGGGTTAATCTTCACATTGCAAGGGACTAGGATATAAGAATTGGAGAAGACTGAGAAGACTGCTGCTTCTTGAAATAAACGAAAACTAACTTCTGAGTTTGTCTCAAAAATAATGTAATCTCTGGAAGCAGGATGTGAATTTAGAACTGAAAAATGGGAACTTTGACACCTAGGTCTGCCCTCTGCTTTCCAGCAGAGCTGATTCATTCCAAAATGGAGAGGCATCTATTAGCAAATCTCTAAATTTCATCCTATGCTTTTTTTTGTAGATAAAAACTTTGATGATGATGACTCTGTGGATGGGAACAGGCCTTCCTCAGCCAGCTCTTCGACATCTTCAAAGGCTCCTTCGACCTCTCGAAAAGGTGGCATGGGGACAACGCGCAGGGTTGGAACAGTAGCTCTCGTCTCAAAGACTCCAGGTAGATCAGACCTTTCAATATGAAAAGCCTAGTCCGGACTCCATATGCCTTTAAAGAATATGTTATTTTTAAGTTATTGTCTTTTACTTCTCAACTGTGGTGTCATTTAATGGAATCATACAAAATAAGTTTGAGGACACTTGGAAGATTTCTTGGTTTGAAAAGCATGTCCAGAATCTTTCCCTGAGTCTTTTTGGGTTCACCTTATCTGGACATGGCACTACATAACAAAGTTATCCAGGCTGGCAGGAATCCTGTTACATTTTTATAGCAGCCCAATACAGTATAAATCTTGCTGTTTATTTACTTATTGAGTTTCTAGAACACCCAACTTAGTGAGATTCTACTTGGGGTGGTTTGCATAATTAAGCAAAACATACAAACTAAAATAATACATAGATAATACCACAAACAAACAAAAACAGGAAGGTGATTGAGGATTGCAACCTGGTTGCTTAGGTGAATCAAATTATATGAACTATAACATAATAAAACAAAATATCCAGTAATATAAGAAAATAATGGTAGTGCTGCAAGTTAAGAATTTAGTGTAAGTCAGTGCAAACATTTGCTCTTGCATCGCTTCTCAGCCTTTTGGCTAAGATCATGTGTAGTATCTGTTCTTATCAGTTTAATATCTGATACGTCCTCTATTTGAGGACTATATATTGAATATTTGCTCTTGCATACTAAAAGCGTTCTGGCTCAAGACTTCTGCTGCCCAAAACAGTTCAAAGAGAAAAAAGCCAAATCCTTGTGTTCAGAGCTGAGTTATCTGAGTGCAATTTGCAGTGGTCCTTTTTGAGAAATGAAATGTTTCCTCCTGTACTAACATGCATGGAAACCAACATGGGGTAGAGAAAGATGGTGGGAAGAACAAAGAAACACATATTACCAAATGGAGTCTTGGCAGAAAGCTTTCAGAGGTTCTATGTCCAACAATAGCCGTAACCTAATTAATGTTTTAAAGATTTCCCTTCTTCGACAGCTCTTCTGCCTGGCTTCATCCTATATCCCTGTCAAAAAACCCCAGTTTCATTAATTATACATAAAGCCTTGTCCTTTAATTGAAAAGAATCCTTCTAGTTTAGGGCACCTTCTGTTTTGTTTTAAACTGTTTTAATGATTATGTAGTCCAACTTCTTTGTGTATGGGGTGTACATGACTTTTGTACTTCTACCTTTCTTTGTCCTTCCTGTTCTTACTAGAGTAAGATGCATTTTACATGCCTCTCTTCAGATTTTTTAAAAAAAACCCTTTTAATGCTTCCATCACTGTGTTTTACCTCTTGCTTTCTTATCCCATATTAATGCTGTCTAACACAAAACATTGAAACACTCCCTCCTTTCTGCATCTTTTCAGCAACTAAAGAAGGAGCTGGTGCCGTAGATGAAGAGGACTTCATTAAAGCGTTTGAGGATGTCCCAACAGTTCAGGTACATAGTGATGTGGCTAAAAACAAAGCAGTTATGTCTGCAGTTCTTGTTTTTTAAAACTGGTTTTATTTAAAATGGCACAGTTTGAAAGGTGCCCTTGTGAGTTAAGTAAGCAGTCCAAACTACCAGTGCCTTAAACATGGTGGACATATGAGCTCCTCCCCTGTGTTGGTTTGAGGCTTACTGTGGACAGTGCAAAGCCCATTATGCGTTTCTTTTGCAGTTGATAAATATGTGGCTACTCCTACTTTAGAGAGTAAAAATATCTATGCCCAAGTATGATTTCTGTGGAGAGGCAGAAAGAAAGATGGAGCCAAATGTCATGTTTTAAGAAAACAGTATTATAATGGTAGGGTCATTCCCTGTCAAATCAACCGATGGAAAATCCATTTTGGAACTTGATATCATGGATTTGGTTCACTTTTGGTACATTTCTACCTTACCATAGAAAGGGGCGATGATAACTTCCTCAATGGCTCAAGGGGGCATTTCTTTCAAAAAGGTTAAGAACCACTGTTGTAATCTACAGTTTGTTTGCTAAGTTCACTCGAGTAGTGGATGTGTTTCTGAGTTGAGGCCAAGAAATGTTGAAGAGGACATGAACTATGCCTTTTCAACTTGGATATGAGTTTCCCCCATTCATACTGGCTTTAAAAACATGAAATCTGAAGAGCATGCAGGTGGGATTTGGACTGGGAGTTCAGAGGGCTGAAACAAGTATGGCAAGTGAGTAATTTTTTAAAAGCAATCTCAATATCCATTAAGAATATTAGTTTTTAAAAAGAAAATTAAATTGGGGCTGGTACTATGCAGCCCATGGGGTGCAGTAAACCTTTTCCAAGGCTCCAAATATGCCTCCCCAGTGCCCTTGAGAATCCACAGCATCGCACACTTTTTAAAAGGGTGTAGGGGGGAAGGAATGGCTGAGAAACCCCTCTTGTGCAGTGGGGAGCGATTTTGCCATGTTTTGAGCAGTACCGCCATTGTTATTTTTGCCTAGAAAGTTTAGTTTTGACCACCAGAGGGTGGAAAGGGACTTACTAATTTTTTAAAAATTTCATTTTACTAAGAAATGTTTGTGGGGGTCGGTATTGTGGGAAGCATTCTTTGTGTCATAACAAATGTTTTCCTTTTCATAGATTTATTCTAGCCGAGACCTTGAAGAATCCATAAACAAAATAAGAGAAATTCTGTCTGATGATAAGCATGATTGGGAGCAGAGAGTAGCTGCCGTAAGTCTTTGATTGTAGATGAACTCTTTTATAGTACAATTTACCTCTCAGGTACTTTGTCTCTGTTTCTGTTTTATGTGACTGTCACTCTGTGATATGGTGGGAAATAACAGTGCAATTGTATAGCTGTATATTCATGCATATTGAAGCTTGTTTATTTCAGTACATTATATTATATTGTGGAAATCTGAAAATTCAGAAAAATCTAAAGGAAGATAATGAATGTTGCGTTCTCATTTTGGAGAAAAGTTTCAGTGACTGCAGTTTTGGAGCAAGTTGACAAAGTCTGCCTTCAAAAATGAATTAAAGTTTGAAGTGCCTGTGTTTAAAAGACCAAGACATATTTATTTTCCCAAGTTTTTAAAAGCATTACAGTACTTTTGTTTCTAATGTGCTGTTATCCTGTTGTAGTTTATCTTATGCTGTAGTTGAGCTGAATTCGCCCATTCCTGTCCATTTTAGTTCACTGATGCCCAGGATGTCGATGTTTATTCTTGCCATCTCCTGTTTGACCACCTCCAGCTTCCCAAGGTTCATAGATCTTACATTCCAGGTTCCTATGCAGTATTTTTCTTTGCAGCATTGGATTTTCCTTTCACTTCCAGGCACGTCCACAGCTGAGCGTCCTTTCGGCTTTGGCCCAACCACTTCATTAGCTCTGGAGCTACTTGTACTTGTCCTCCGCTCTTCCTCAGTAGCATGTTGGACGCCTTCCGACCTGAGGGGCCCATCTTCCAGCGTCATATCTTTTAGCCTTTTGTTTCTGATCATGGGGCATTCTTGGCAAAGATACTGGAGTGGCTTGCCATTTCCTACTCCAGGTGGATTGCGTTTAGTCGGAACTCTCCACTATGTCCTGTCCATCTTGGGTGTCCCTGCACGGCATAGCCCATAGCTTCTCTGAGTTACTCAAGCCCCTTCGCCACGACAAGGCAGCAATCCATGAAGGAGAACTGTCCTGGTAATAATTGCTAAAGGACAGAATATAAATATTTGAAATGAAATATCATTATCACATTATTGCATCTCTTGTCACACATGCACTTCCCTTCACAAATCAGAAGAATGTTGACTGATACGACAACGTCTCTGTTCCTTATCCTTTCCAAATTCTTGTTCCCCCAACAGTTGAAAAAGATCCGGTCTTTGTTGCTGGCTGGAGCTGCCGAGTTTGATACCTTCTTCCAGCACCTGCGCCTGCTCGATGGAGCATTTAAATTATCTGCCAAAGACCTGAGGTCCCAGGTGGTGAGAGAGGCTTGCATCACCTTGGGGTAAGGCATACAGTCTGCAGATTCTGCAGCTCTATTTGGACATATGGAAAGCAGTTCACCTGAATGTGCGAGGAGACGAGACCTCTCTCCACTCCCCACCTCCTTGCCCTCCTTACATAAAAAACAACTGTCAGGAAACCCTCTGACATCCATGGTGGATAGTGTGTATAGTCAGGGACCTTGACGAATTTGTGGTGGCATAGACAGACTCCACTCAAAACAAAAGTTTTCCTTTTTATTTTGTCTGTCTCCATGTGAAGAGAGCAGGAGAGAAGGGGGAGAATCAGCCCTCTCCCTCTCCCCGCATGTTGAGACTAGCCCTTTGCTGAATCACGGATAACTCTGACATTATGTCAGCAATTGCTATAACAACAAAGCTGCCAGTGTTCTCTCCTCCGTCCCATCTCTTCTGCTACAGGAGGGGCTAGGGTGTGCTGAGCTGCATTGCCAAGGTTTCAGACCAGGAATTTCCAATCACTTCCCATTGCAAGTCTTTGATTTCTAGTTGTGTGGAAGCACAGTTGTAGGACTAGTGTACAGTTTAGTTCCCATTTACTACCAAGAAAGTCAGAACGACCAGCTTCCTCTTTCATATGAGAAAATGGGCAGAGATTATTGCTAATTCAGTGGAAATCTCCAGTGCCACCTCTTTTACCATCAGTCAACATTTACACATAAAAACAATCAGGCAGTTGAAATTATTCTTATAACTACCAATGCTTTAATATGGTGTAATGGTTGTTATTCAGTTTCTCATGGAGACATTACTAATAGACAGTTGAGTTCAGTCTCAAACGGATGTGTAAATCATTCTAGGTCCCAAGTGGCTATATTCTGCTTTTTTAACTTTAGCAAATATTCAGATGTAAATATTAGTTGACTGGTTTTCTATAGTAGTGCTATTCCTCTGCATTTTGACATTTACAATTATTCAGCCACATTTTATGGAGCAGCTATCAGCTGTGCTGTAACAATTTGTGAACGAGAATTTTATTGCTCGTAGATGTTAGCTCTGGTTCATAGCTTCTAAGTCCATGTTGTTTGTGTATATGATGGGAACAACTCAGTAGCACCATTATTCAACATGGAGTTCAACATGACTTTCATAGGACTAGAGCCCAGAAAGTTACGAATTCATAAGAAAATGAATTAGGACAATTGTAGGAGTGAGATAATGAAACATCAGATAATAGACTTGTTTGATGTGGGTAAAGAGTTGAAGTTTTTAAAAACCTAGAGGTAGGGGGGAACATAACCAAAAATATTCAAGGCAAAAGAAGGACAAAATTCTGAAATTCCTTCATGATTAATTGCCCATTAGCCACAGTGCAAGGGTCAATAAGAATGTTATTCCTTAACTATCACTTGAGTTGTCTGTCCCAGCATAAAAACAAGCCCTTGCCCTTTTCCAGGTGACATTTTTCTGAATTGTATACAACATACAGTTTGGCAGTATACGTACTTCCAAGATTCACTGGCATTTTGAAATCAATAGTAGTGACAAATGTTGGGAGACTATACCACTTTAATAAGATAAATCAATGTTTGAATTATGGAAGAGGAAAGAGTGAGGTTTGATGAAATCCACAGCACACCCCCTTACAGTGTTAACAATGGGAGATGACACGAAGGGAAAAGGGGGCCAGGTTCCAACTCTTCATGGTCTACCAATAATTTGAGCAGTAAGAGAAATTTTTATTTGGATTATGAAAAGAAGAGTGTAAAAACCACAAGGACAATTGACATTCATATTTGTGTTGTTTCTAGAAAGCCATGGCTGTTCCTGTCTTAAATTTTTCAAATTTTCCTTTATATCCTACCCTAAGGGTATGTGATGTTATATTGCTAGCAGGCTAGGAAGCAGAATAGATAAAACATGTGGAAAACTATAACATTGTATTTGAGTTCAAAGTGAGTTCAGAGTGAAAGTTCAGATGATTCTTTTTGTCTGGTGGTATCTCTGTAGGGGCCTGCTAGAAATATTGATTTCAAAGAAAGAGCAGTAGGACATTTTTAATAGCAGCTATAAAAATCACAGATGGCAAAGTAAGTTGGACAGCTGATGAGAAAGAAGGCCAGACCTAAATCTGTCAATGTTGGGAAACCAAGCAGTTTGGCTCTGTCCTTTGGGCTGTTATTCAATATTATCACAGTGAGATCTGTGCTAGATTTTCCTAATTAAAACTAATGTTAACGATAGAGCACACTAGTTGTTGGGGTTGAGGTATCCTGTGTTAACGTAGTTCCTTATATGTGATATCAGTAAAATTCTAAGAATTGAAAATGGCAGCAGGCATACCATTCTAAATAATGATCGTTTTGATCTCCAGCACTCTTCTACTGTTGTGACACAATTGTCGTTGTTTATTTCAGGCATTTGTCATCAGTCTTGGGTAACAAGTTTGACCATGGGGCAGAAGCCATTATGCCAACAATTTTTAATCTCATTCCTAACAGTGCCAAAGTCATGGCCACCTCTGGTGTAGTAGCTGTTAGGTTAATCATCCGGGTGAGTATCTCTCAAAGCAAATATAAATTGTGGCATTTGTGAAAAAGGTGGTGGTGATTTACCAATATGAAAATCAATCAAATTAATAGGCTGTCTAACAGAATCCTAAGTAATAGCTGGGAATCAATAAGAGTTGTTCACCTGCTATTGCTAATTTTGTGTGTGCGTGTGTACATGCACATGTATACACAATCCTAACTTTGTACAGACTTCCTTCATAGAGCATAGCCAGACTGGAAAGTGACAAAGCTTTGAAATCTAAATAATTCATCTGTACTGTCTGGACTGCATGCTGATATGTGCTGAATTAATTGTTTCTTAAACTTCAGTGATGAATAAAGTACACCATCTGTTGAAAAATATAGCTTTTACCAAAATATAATCTCAGATGGAGAAAGCAATTCCTACTGCAGATGTTGTTGCATATTTGGGCAGTGTTAATGAGCTCTCTTATATATTTCTTTTAAATGTAACTGGTGTTTTCTGTGTATGAAGGAAGAATAGACAAATCACATTCAATTCCAAATGAACATTCATTTTAAAATAGATGTAATTGTATAATCACAGATTCTGTTGATACAAAACTGGAAAGTGCAGGGTTGTAATGGAGGGTTATATGCTTTGTTTTGTTTCATTTAAATCAGTGCCAAGAAAAACTGAATTTTTGATTACTCGTATAAATTTTATGCATTAAAATAACATGTATTTGATTGGTGCAATTAATTCTAATAGTCCTGGAGAAAGGCAAGAGTGCTGTTAGGCACTGACTCACATGCTTAAGTCAAGTGCAAACTCTTCATTTTAGCATCTAATTAATGTGAAATAGCTCTGGGGTTTTTTCCCTTTCAAAAATTCTCAGGATTTCCTTGTTCTTTTTGTTTTCATCCCCTAGCATACGCACATCCCTCGACTAATTCCCATCATCACCAGTAACTGTACTTCCAAATCTGTTGCTGTTAGAAGGTGAGTCCCCCCCCCACTCTCTGATGAGTGACTTAGCAAAAGAACCTTTAGGGTTATGCATGAAACCTCTATGTGTCGGTTCATGTGTGAATATTTATATTGGTGCAGCCGCCTGACAGGATGGTGCCCATTGTGTCTGATTTGGCTTCATAGAACACTGTTGATGGAGTGGCTCACATTTGGGCCCATTAAAACTTCAAATGCAAGAGGTAATGCTTTGATTTCAGTCATACATTTTCCTAGACCAGAACCTCCTTCCTAGGAGGAAATGGGCCACTGGAGAAAAAGCAGTTTCATTGCTAATTCAAAGGATGTGTGCTAATTCCCACTCAAGAATGAAGTTGTATATTTTCTAGAGGTGTAGGGCGGAGAAGAAAACAGGAAAAATAATCTGTTTTCTTCGCTCCATAAGATGCATAGACTTGTGCGTCTTATAGTGCGAAAAATATGGTAATTCCCACTCAAGAATGAAGTTCTATATTTTCTAGAGGTGTAGGGCAGAAATTGGAGTTCATATCCTAAATGTCTTCAGGCCACTTTGAACTGTTGTGATCCCCACCAGCTCTACCAGAGCCAACAGATAGTCCCTCTTCTGTTCCCCAATCCATTGAGTTGACAACAGGTGTTTCAAACAAAACAATTTTTTTGTCACTTGGAGAAAGGTTTTAATGGAAGTGTGTTCTTGTGACTGACTTCCTCTGGGACTAGTTAACTCTGCTAACCTTGACTACTTTGCTCCATGCCCCATGTTAACAACACTGGGATGTGGGAGTCTATAATCCACTTTGCTGGTGGTCATCATGCACTACTAAAATGTGAGGCCTGCAGAAGCAAGGGCCTGTACACCCACTATGTGGGCAGGGCACATGGCTTACTTGGGATGCTGATGAAGTGGAGGTTGGTGTCAGGAGCTTCTCTTGCTGGAGACAATGCTGGCATTTCTTTTGACGTTTCCGTCTCTGGTGCCGTAGCTGCATTGGGGTCAGCTTTCCCATACTGGATCCTGGTTGTGGCCGAGGGCCCTGCTACTGCCATCACTCCCCTCAGTAGTGCGGGCAAGGTGGAGATGGTGGATTCTAGTGTTTCTCCTCCTCCCTACATCTGCACTAGGACTTCTGTTCAGGGATCCTCATTTATCACATAGTCCCGCTCCCTGGGTAGTTCAGGTTCTTCCTTGCTGTCTTCCTCCACATTGTATGCCACTCCCAGTTCCTCCTGGGCATCTCCCCAGGCTCCCTCCTCCTCTCCCTCTGAGAGCACTGGATTTTCTTTCTCCTTCTTTCCTTTTGATTGTCCATTCACCTCCTCCAGTGCTTCCTTTGTGTCTCCTGCTTCCCAGCTAGTCCCTTTTCCCTTTACCTCCTTCAGAAGATGCTCTATGCTTTCTGCAGTGCCAGCACTAATGGGTGTTTCTTTCACCATCTTTGAAAGTAACACATTTGTTTGTGTCTGACTATTCCTGACCTATATCTCTCTAGCCTCTGGTTCTCTAGTAGGTTCTGAATTATCTACTGGGCTGGGGCTAGACAGCCCACCAGAGGCTCCCTCATTAGTATCCCCCCCAAATCTGTGTATTTGCTGCTTATGTTCTTAACACTTACTTAATGTCATATGTGTGTGCAGGGCTTGAGGAATTAAGATAGGGCACCTTTCCTTTTATTAATTAAATGTGGAATGATTCAGGACCTAGAAGATTGATGAATGCAGTAGAGGGAGAGAGATATTTCTTCTTCTTTGTTTGGTGGAGAGTCTTCAACACTTCCTTGATAAGCATTATTGATGTTTTCTTAAGTTATAGTACTGTAGCTGCACCCCAGCTGCTACCTGATGTTACTCAGAAATTTCCCAAAGCTTATTTTACAGAAGTTTATTCTTCTGCAGATGCAGTGTTTTAAGTTCTTGGGTTAAGTGGATACCGTATATGGCATTCATAAAATGTTATTTTTTAGAATGCAATTTGGCAATTTTTATTTAATCTGTTTTTAAAGCACGTTGTTGTTTTTACACAGTGATAATGACTGATGTCCATTTTCCCCTTTTTTTGAAGGCGGTGTTTTGAATTTTTAGATTTGCTTTTGCAGGAGTGGCAGACACATTCCCTAGAAAGGTAAGATGTGGGTATTATGATAAAAGAAGTGGGCTTCCTCTCTGATCTCATTTTGTTCTGAAATATCAGATGAGTTTGGAGAAATTGTAGGGGATCTCCTCTATTTGACTCCTCCCTTCATCTGGCACCTTAATAGCAGGCATCCCCAAAAAGGTACAGCAGAAGAAGAAGCAAGGCCTTTGTGTTAGCTGCAAGACCAAATGCATTTGAATCTTCCTGTTCCTGAACTGTTTTTTAATAGATTTACATTATGAGTAACTCCTCTGAAACAGTAGTAGTTAGTGTCTTAAGTGTGCATATTTTCCTCTTCCTTCCTTATCCCTTTTTCCTTCTGATTCCCGTCTTTTAGGTCATAAGTCTATAGGCCAGAGTTCTCCTCTTTTTATTGACCTTATAGGAACCATTTTAGAAGAATGAGCTGAAATGTGTTAAATAAATAAATAAGCGAGAGGGGAATTGGATGCAGTGAAAAGAATCCATTTAAACTCTTTACAAACAGAGTTGCTGGAGACCTCATGGCAGTATGATCAGTATACTGCAAAAGTACTGAGATTTCAAATCACTTTTGATTGCAGACAAAATACGCCTTTTAACGGCAGCATTCATTGAGGAAAAAAAATGAATAACTTCCACCTTTTGAGCAATGGCAGAGCACACAAGGTTTAACTGTGTTGATGAACACAGAGCCATGTCACATAATTATGTAAACATTTGCTGCTAGCTTGGTTAGATTGATGAAGGCTGCATTATGTACTATTGTGGGGACACCGGGGAGAACACAAGGAGATTGTCACCCTGGCTAAAAAGAGGTTGCAGTCCTCAGCCAGCTTTCAGGGATAGCATCCAAACTTCTTAGCCTTAGAATTATTGCATAGGAGATGAGGCAGCTTACATGTGTTACATCATGCCAGCAGAGAATGTCCTTGAAATTGTGGCAGTTGGGTGAAGCTTCATCTCCTTGATGTTTAATGCCTTACGGCAGGGCAGCCCTACTTTACTGTCACTAAAATAAAGCATGTCAGCTTCCTTAATTCTGTGCATGCTAGGTGGAGAGCCAGCTTTTGGCATTCACAAGCAGCAGAATGAGAAGAGGAGTATGGTACATTCCAGATCATCTTCAGTTTTCTTTATGAGGCAGGAGAAGGGAATGTGGAGGTAAACATTTGCCTCTGGAAGGTACTCATTTTTCATATGTGGTGGGAATATGAGAATATATTGAAATTTTGGCAGCTTGTTTTCAAGGAAAGAAAAAAATATTTAAGTTAAATATAGGGGTTTGTCTTAAAATAGCTCATTAGTTTAGAATTTGGTCCCATGCACAATGCAGCGTAGGTTAAGGCACCAGTGATAATTGTTCTGCAGACATTGAGTTGATTCCAGTATGGTTTTGGTGCCATTTGGTGGGTTTTCACATTTCTGCACATTTATGCGTGCGTGGTTCCAAACGACAAAGGAATGACCGCTGAAGAATGTTTCTTGGCATTTCTTATGCAAGAGAATCAAAGGCAGTAAAGCGGACTAGCACAAACAAACAACCAAATCCTCAAAAAGGATATTGTGCAGAAAAGCATTCTCTTTTTATTCCAGAGAGCTGGATAATTTTCTTATGAGCTCCAAGTGCAGTATGTAGAGTGTTTCTATCCTTCCCCTTTAAGGTAAATGACAATGTCTTCTTAGGCACATATCGGTATTGGCTGAAACAATAAAGAAGGGAATCCATGATGCTGACTCTGAAGCACGGATAAAAGCCAGAAAGTAAGTTGTTGTCTTTTTCTTTCTGATGCCGATTCCATTAATAGCCAAAGATTGCTGCTCACTGTGTAGGTGGAATAAGAGCAATGTTACATGTTGCAGTTCCAAGGCATTTGATGTTTTATGGTGACAGGTAGCATCACATTTTCAGAACTTCAAAGAGGCACACAACAGAAAGATAGGATGTTGTCTTAGTAATATGATAAAGTATACGCTACGTAACTTAGCAAGCCTAACTGAACTCAGCAGGACTTACTAGAATGATTGCATTCTAAATTAATAGTTATTTTGGCTCATTTTAGCGTGCTTTGTTCAGACCTTTAATGTATCGGAGAGGATGACATTGATTTGTAACATATCTTTGTCCTGTAGTTCTGAAAAGTCAGACGTTTGCACTCTAGGAAATTGCTGATATTTCAGAATTGCAGTTCGTGATTCTACTCTGTTGCCACTCCAAAACTGAATTTTCCATCTAATTGTCCCCCCCCCCATGGGCAGTGGCTCAGTGCAAGCTACAAGAGAAGTCAAATCATGCCTACATTGTAATTTATGTCATAGCTGGTAGTCTCCTTTCAATCTCATTTTTGCTAAAACATCAAAATTATAGAAAATAACATGTAGAAGTTTAAATGTATGTGGGAGCAGATATAAATACACTTGTTTTCGGTGTGTGAAAAAATGTTTTCTGATGCAATTTCCCTTCTCAACCCAAGATTGTTAAGTTCTGGTGAGCTAACATATTGTTCAATGATCAATTTAAATTTTTATTTCCAGATGTTACTGGGGTTTCCACAGTCATTTTAATCGAGAAGCAGAACATATGTTTAATTCGTTGGAATCTTCGTACCAGAAAGCCCTGCAGTCTCATTTGAAGAACTCTGACAGCATCGTCTCCTTGCCTCAGTCAGATCGCTCCTCTTCTAGCTCCCAAGAAAGTCTCAAGTGAGCACCTAAGTCCAATTTTGTTTTTGTTTTTTCTACTGTATGAAATTAATGCAGAACAAAAGAGGCGTCAGACAGTTCCTTTGTAAATTAGTCCATTGCTTCTAAAAAATCTATGTATTTCACTTTAGGTGGATAGATTCTACATAAGAGTGGTGGAAGGAGGGGGCCTTCTCTGTCGCTGCTCCCAGGCTCTGGAACTTCCTCCCATGGGAAGCTAGGCTGGCCCCATCATTGCTGTCCTTCTGCAAACAGGCAAAGACCTTAGTGACTGGCAGTCTGAGAAGGGTTTTATTCTTGGTGGATTTTTGTGCTCTGTTGTTTTTAGATGTGTTTTTGATTTTATTTAACATTTTTAATATAATACTTGTCAAAATCTTTTTAAACTTTTGTATACTTACTATTTTTAGCTTTTAAAACTGTCTTCAATGACGTAAGCCGCCTTGGGTCCTTTTAAGGAGAAAGGTGGAGTAAAAATATTTCAACTAAATAAAATAAATAAAGAACAGATTTTTATTGGTCCTAAGGCTGAAATTTCTACACCAGAATATTAGTTATCTTCTCTGCACAATTCTGGAAGTGTGGAGAAAATGTGATATTTGGCTCTTTAAAAAAAAAATTAAAACAAGGTATTTGTCAGGAGAGAGATGAAGATGACTTGTGTACCAAGAGGAAGAGGAAGAATTGCCAAGGGAGGAGTACCCCATCCCATATAAGCCTTTCGTTATTTGTAAAAATAGTCTGTTCATGTAATCACAAATGGTTTCAGAAGAAATAGGCAAGCTGAATGCATTCAAACCATTTCAGCGATTGGGATGCAGTTTTTGGATTTGTTAGCCTTCCCCCCCTTTTTTTTACTCTTAAAAACTAAAGTCTCTCTTTCGTATGAACAAAGTAATGCAAGGACCAGATCTCCTGGAAACAGGTGGCTGCTGCTGTTTGTTTAAGTGCTTGACAGAGTTTTTGGAAATGATTTTAAAGAGTATTATCAAAGGTATGTGCTTGGATTCTTGTATCAGGGTGCCCCAAAATCTCTGCTACATTCTTCAGTTAATTAAAGTTCGAGTGGTTTCCTAAGGGCACATGGACTTGGTTTCTAAGATAAATGACCCTAAGGAAAATACATGGAAGGAAAGTTTTACATTCTTTTCCCCCCACCTGTCCCCACAAAAGCTTCCAGGGTCCATCTAGAACAGAGCATGAAAAAAATACCCACCAATCAAGTCTGATTTCAAGATTAATTAACATACAGAAGTTAGTGAAAACTCGGCTGTATGATAACCACATTTTTAGTAGGAGCCCACAGCTCTTCAGAGAAGCTTGCTGGAGATTACAGGAGGAAAGAGAAGATGGGAGATCTTCCTTCTCTGTACTTCTCTGTGCTCTTTCCTTAGGTTCCAAGTCAGTATATTATAGACTCTGAACTATGTTTTCAGCTAGCAGAATTCAGTCGTGCCCACTACTCCCTCTCACCCACAATTGTCATGAGAGGAACTTTGTGAAGGAAACACAAAGCAGTACAGTGGTGCCCCGCTTGGCAACGATAATCCATTCCATTAAAATCGCTGTAAAGCAAAACTGTCGTCAAGCGAAAGTAAAAAACCCATTGCAATACATTAAAAACTGGTTAATGTGTTCCGATGGGGAAAATACCTCATCGTCCAGCGAAGATCCTCCATAGGGGAAGCCATTTTCGATCGCTGTCTTCTGGAAATAGGTCCGGAAAACAGCGGGAGGCCATTTTGAAAACCCGACGATCAGCTGTAAAGATCGTCGTCGAGCGAAAAATCAGTTCCCAAAGCAGGGAACTATTCAACGTAAAGCAAAAATTGCCCATAGAAACATTGTTTTGCGATCGCTATAGCGATCACAAAAATGTCATCGTAAAGCAATTTCGTTGTCTAACAGGGTCGTCATCAAGCGGGGCACCACTGTATTCTTTTCTTTTTTGAAACCTGTGGAATGAGAGGCTTCCTGGTAACCAGTTAAAATGAGCCTTGTAATATGGTACAATTTCATATATTTTTATTATTTCTTGATTCAGAGAAAAGTTGTTATTAAATGCAATACTTCTCTTTCCTTTTAGCCGTCCACTGTCTGCCAAAAGAAGTCCAACTGGAAGCACTACGTCACGAGGTGAGAAATGATGGACCTGAGCTAAAAAGCAGGAAGGGGGAGTGGGAGGCTAGTGAATGCTGTCCTTTCCTACTTTCAATGACGATGCAATCCTGCCAATGTAGTGTATAATTCTGCTGTAAGACTTCGGTGATGTGCTGCTGAAGAGAGCAGACAGTTCTGGTCTACTTCTGTACAAAGTCATTGTTTATGGCAAGATTCTGTTGAAACACCTTTCATCAAAAAATACAGTTGCCTTGGAGAGGCAGGGTTTCGCACGGCAAGACTAGTTGGGTTCAGGAGAGCTCCTGAAACTGAACAGGGCCCCTCAGTTTCAAGGCCCCCAATGTAGGGGGTAAAAGGACGGTCCACTAGGAAAAGTGGCATCTGAAGCAGCAGAGGCAACAGAAAGGGGAGAAAAGTTGGTGGAAGCTGCTCCCCCCCCCCAAAGTCTTTTCTTAGTGAAAGGACCGAGGAGGAAGCCATGTTGAGCAAAGAGCTGGGAACACTCCTTGCAGAGAATGGAGATATACAGAAGGATATTGGAAAATATTCTGAGAAGGACTCATAAAGTCAAGTTATGTGTTTTATATAAAGAAAGCTTTATGGACCTGAAACAGTGATACAGAAGAAAGCTGGGGTTAATGAGTCAGTGAAAGTGGATTAGATCCTATAATTCTTCAAGCCACGGTAGAAGCGAGACTCCCCCTCCCCCCAATCCCTCAGCCTTGATCGGGAGAAGGAGAAGAAAGAGAAGGAGAAAAAGGGAGGGGGGGAGAAAGCTATTTTGTGAATGAACTGTTTTAATCAAAGGCAAAGACTTGCTCCCGTGGGAGAGTCTAATCATAAACTGTCTAGTTACAATGCTGATGGGTGAAACTAGAATTGGAGAATAGAACTTTGGAACTTAGGAAGAGTCTTAGATTGTGTAACATCACCGGATTGGAGGCACCTTTGTTTCCTTTGGCACTGCCAAAGTCTGAATTTATTGGGACAAGAGATACTTAAGGATTGACAACAAAACATTCAAAATGTTATCCACAGGATTACAGCAGATACAAGGAGGAATGGCTCAGCTGTCTGACCAAATTAAAGATTGAAGAATGCAAATGACTGATATTAAACACCAAATTATAGAAAATAAAAAAGAAATAGCTAAAATAGAAAAAGCCTTTAAAAAAGCAGAAGAAAATGGAGACTTTTTTTAAAAAAATAAATGTTATTATTTTTTTCTACATACAAAAACACACACTTATGAAAAAAACAAGACAAAACAATACTAGTAAAATCAAAAACAAAAACAAAACAAATCCCCACATGTATAGGCCAGGGGGAGGCATTCCATACAAAATTTCCATTCTTAAAAGTCTGACTGCATCAACCTTATTACTCTATGAAAATTCCAAGTGTGATCCATCCTAAAATTGTACTAAATTCTAATAATTATTTCTCTCACATCCTT